TGGTTGCAAAAGGTTTCACTCAAACCCCAGGGGTTGACTACGATGAGACCTTCTCGCCAGTGGCTAAGATTAAATCTATTAGGATATTGCTCGCCATAGCTGCCTTTCATGATTATGAAATCTGGCAGATGGATGTCAAAACTGCTTTCCTTAATGGGAAGTTGGCTGAAGATGTTTACATGAGTCAGCCAGAGGGTTTTGTTGATGCAAAGTTCCCCAATAGAGTGTGCAAGCTTGAGAAATCCATTTATGGATTGAAACAAGCATCTCGCAGTTGGAATCTTTGCTTCCATGAGAAAGTCAAAGAGTTTGGTTTCTCTAGAAGTGAAGATGAGTTCTGTGTGTATATCAAGGCTAGTGGGAGTATAGTAACTTTTCTGGTGTTGTATGTCGATGACATATTACTCATTGGTAACGACGTTCCAACCTTGAAAGAAGTTAAGTCTTGGCTTGGAAAGTGTTTTGCCATGAAAGACCTTGGAGAAGCTGCCTATATTCTTGGGATTAGAATATTGAGAGATAGAAAGAAGAGACTAATTGGACTTAGTCAGAGCACATACTTGGATAAGGTACTAAAGAGGTTTAGTATGGAAAATTCCAAGAAGGGAGAGCTACCTATCCAGAGCAATACCAAATTGAGTAAGACTCAATGCCCGAGTACAGATGTTGAAATAGATGACATGAGTCGTGTACCTTATGCTTCCGTTGTCAGATTGATCATGTACGCTATGACATGTACTCGCCCTGATGTGGCATTTGCTTAGGGGAAACCCTAGAGATTTCGTCCAAGGGGTCCAAATAAGGCATTTGGATCTTGCTTATGCCCTAAGCAAAGGATAACTAGGGTTTTCCCTAAACCCTAGATCCCTCAGCTATTTAAGGAGCCTCCTGGCTCACATTTGAGGTCACTGATTTCTTTGGAAGAAACCCTAAGGCCGAAATTACGTACTCTCTCCATCCTCTCTCCTCCAAGTTTCCTTCTTGCTAGTTCTTGGGTGTGATTCCATTAGAGGCATTACATTTGTGGTGCTAAGCTTCCAAGAAGATCAAGATCAAGATCAAGAGGATTATCAATTGTTTGCTATAACAATTGAAAGGTATGTAACTCCTAAACCCTAGTTTGTTAATTTCGAAATTAGCCTCTCTCCTCTAGGGTTCTTGTTTTTTCAATTCAAAGTTATATGTTCAATAGTTAAAACATAGATCCAAAGTAGGTTGCATGTGAACTTAGGAATTGTTTTCTAGTTTATTTGTTTTACCTAAAACCCATGAGTTTGAACCATCGTAATGGATAAAGTTGGAAACTTTATCCATTATGGAGCTATTAGGAACCATAAAAATATGATCTTGGTCCTTCTATCCCTTCCATGCAAGAGTTATGATGTCTTAATGAATTAATAAGTTAGGGTTTTAGCTTTTGGACCTTTTCTAGCCATGGAAAGTCATAAAGGTGGAAAGTCATTGAGACAATTTGCCCACTCCTAATGTGTACAATCAATACTACCAAGTATTCCGTGAAAACCGTGTTTAGCTTGACGTTAGGCATACAACTGTTCGACATCGCTTCTAGTTGGCTTTCGCAAGTATGTGTCACCGTAAAGCTTTATAACATACTCACAAAGAATATATGCACGTTCTCAACCCGTCCTCTCAGACGTTTTTAAATACTCATCTAATGCGTCTGCGGTTATGTTGTATGTCAATTGTCGAAGAGCGGTTGTGCATTTTTTTATTGTAGCAAAACCATGTTGACCTCTAGCATCTCATCTCAATTGAAAAAACTCATAATTATTTTACAAATATCTAGCTATATGTAAGAATAAATTTCAACTAATACAAAAACGATCTTCGAATTTCGATAGGTCGTATAAACTATTAGAGGCAAAGTAATCACATACCAAAAGTTCATTTGCCACGATACGATCCCGGTTGATCGAATAACTACGCCTCTTTTCGTCATTTGAACTTTCGCTCCCTAACGTAACATTTCATTTGTCGTTGACAACGTGTGCAGAAACAAATCATCATCATCGGATGAAGAAGAAGAAAATGAAGACAAAAAATTATTCACGTTGGAAGAGTATATTTGTAGTGTGAAAAAATATATATATGTTTGTATTTATAGGTAAATAGGTTGAGTTTTAATTTAAAAAAAAATAATTTAAATTTGCCAAGTATACATGCAAACGGTCACAAAATCTTTTATCCAATCAAAGTTCTCGTGTGAAGAGGCCCACTCCACTTAGTACGTGCCCCAGGGGCGATGTTTACACGTGGACAAGTCCGCCCGCTCAACTATTCATGCGTGGTTTGAGCTCCATACTGAAAGGCGTTAAGGTCTCACATTTGTTGGAAAGATATAAAATCTTTGAGGTTCAAATATGATCTTAAATAAAATTCATAGATTTTAAAAATAAATAAATAAACAAATAAATAAATGGATAAATAAATAAGTTTGTGGTTCTAAATAAATATACCCAATAAAATATACATATATACCAACAGCTTGAAGGCGGAAAGTAACATTACAAATGACATATGACAATGTAAACCTAGTGGCTTTACTTAATACCTCCACCCATGGCACCTAGTACGGGGGACCATCCTCATTGCACCTTCTTGGCTGGTATTATTTTTAGAGTATTTTAATCTAATGCCTTTACTTTTGATTGGGCCTTTGATTTTCTTTATTCATAACTCTTTAGAATCTGATCTGACGTACGTTTTTGAATTTTACCATCCCACCAATTCAAATCCAAAGTTGTATGTCGTATTATAACAAATATATGATTGTGTTTAGCAAATGTTCACTAACCAAAACCGTTTTTCAAAGTTATTAGACTGCATAGAGTTGGACGCTACCATGGCTCGCTACGGGGTCGCTAGGCTCGCTGAACACCGCCCATGACGCTCGTTACGGGCTCGCTACCAGCATCTGGCTAAGGACTCACCAAGAGGAGAGGGAATAAATCTTGGACTGTGATTGGCTGATTCCTTTTTTTTCTAATTGTTTCCCCTAAAATTAAACCTATTAAATGTCATGTTTTAAAAATCGGTTTGAACCGGCCGGTTGGACCGGGAACTGGGGGAGGAACGGTTCAACTATCACTGGTTTTACGTCGACTTCTTAACTGAATTGAATCGGCCGGTTTTAGAAAAATCCGATTGAACCGGTCAAAATAAACCGGTTGCACCGGTTAAACCGAATAAAAACATATGGAAAAGAACCATTTGCATATTAAAATTTAGTGATTTTTCAAATTTATTTAGTTTTCTGTAAATAAAAACATATGGTAATGTTATAAAGTTTTTTGATGTGTTTGTATTCATCTAAAACTATATTTTGTTTCGGTATAATATTTTATTTTCTTTTTGACGTATATGAATTGATGTAAAACACTAAAACTTATGGTTATGTGTTATTTTAATATATTTTGATTGATCTACAAATTATTTTAAGGTTTACTTTTAACGTTTGAACTTGTAAACGTCAAATTCATGATATATATATATATATATATATATATATATATATATATATATATATATATATATATATATATATATATATATGTGTGTGTGTGTGTGTGTGTGTGTAGGAAAATATGAAAATTATAGAAACCGGTTGACCCGGCGGTCGAATCGGGAACCGGTCACCATACCGGTTCAACTAAAAAACCGGTTTTTAAAACATTGATTAAATGGGGGGCACTACCACTCCCTACATTTTTTGTGTTAGACATGCTAAGCTTACGTAACTTCAAAAAAACATAAGAAAATCCTACGTGACAAGGTATTAGATTTTGGGGTCTTAAGAATATCAATTTACTCGGATATTTCTTGGATCGTGATTGCAATCACTTTCCAAAATCTGTGATTTCAACCCTATAACCTAGGGTATCACTAAATCAGATTTGAGATAATCCAAAGAATTTTAATTTTGAAGTCAGATCACTTCTAAATCAAGAAACACAGAAAAATACATTGTTGTTTTTGTGTTCTTATGCAAGTTCCAACCCGTTCTCTACCCCTTGGACGCGCTGCCCCTAGACCCCACCAGGGGCTCAGACCCTTGGAACCCTGCACCTAGGGGCGCTGTCCGTGGACCCCGGTATTCTCGAGTTCACATTTATCATTCCGAGTGTGCACTCACACCTCCTATCTCGGTTGGTAAATGGAGCTCATTCTATCTCATTATTAACAATAATTACATCAAAATATGTTGATAACACTAAAATCATTAACACAAGGTGCTAGGAGTGCTATCATTCCATCTAGCTTTATCGTCAATAAAACAAAACATTCTAATTATTTGATCTTAATGAAGGTTTTTAAATAAAGTAAAACATAATTTGTTTTTTTTTTAATTTAAGGTTATGAACTTTTTTAAAAACAAATCTTGATCTTGATCTTGAACTATTTTCTTCTTTGCTTAATATTAAATAACAAATGAACAGTTTAACCACCTAACATTTGAAATATTATCATGTCTAGGAGAGTTTTTATTAGCTCTAAATACATATGTATGATATAGCTAATAACCAATAAGTCTAATCTGAAAACTCCGGAGGAGTTTAGATTTACGTAGAAATTTGGTGGAATAGGTATGATAAAGTGGTTATTGATATTGAAAGCTTAGGGACCGTGGCATTAATGGTCCTGATTTTTCTCTTATTAACAAAATATTGGATTACGATCGTCGCTAAAACTAGAACCACAAGGACATAATTTTCTATTCACAAAAACGCATACACAGCTAGTTTTGCCTTTTCATTCAAACACGGAGCCATTTTCATACCACGTAACATGTCCACCACAACCTATTTCTCACTTCTCAGTTCTCAACATCATAATACTATTATTTAATAGAACATCATTTCCTTTTATATAATATAAACCGATAATGTTCCAGTTCTACATGTCATTATCTCTATTATACACAAAAAGCTAAAAAGATAACAAAATCTTCAAAATTACAACAAATAAAAAATAGAAAACGATTGAATAACGAGGATTTGAACCATAGTTTCTTAAATATTATGATCCAAAAATTATCAAACTAAATGTTTAATTTTGATGATGGGGTATTGATTATTACTTGTACAAACATTACTACCCTATCACCTCCTCCATATCCTAAAAATCTTGGAGAAAATACAAATGAATACACAAGGCCCTTTCCCTCTTCTCCAATTTGAAGTAGAGACCATAAATATTTAACAATTTTGCCCACATATCACACATTTTAACAAAATCTTCATTTTCACCACCAATGATAACAAATGCTCACACTTCTTCCACCGCACCGGACCTAGCGGCACCACCACTTGAACCGCCTCGTGATTCTTGACATTTAGCAGTCACCTCCGCCACCACCAATTTCGTCAGAAACAACCCCGCCACAAAAGCCGCCGCCATAAGCATGGTGAAGACCGCACTCCAACTCCGAGTTGAAATGTAGCCCGTCAGCACCGGTCCGATCGCGGCACCAATCGACCCCGTTCCGTCGATAATCGCGGTTACAGTCGCTAGTGCCTTGGAGTTTCCCCTCAGAGACTTGTGAGTCCCGAGATCAGCCGAAACCGCGGTTGTGATCAGAGCGTATGGACCGTTAACAAACATCCCGGTGACCAGCATCAAGATGATGTTTACAGACATTGATATATGTCCATAACTTCTGTATAGGTACAACGCGGGAATCGCACAGTACATAAAGCTCGCTGCCGTAATAGCACGAGCCCCTAACCGGTCAGATATATGACCGGCTAGGATTCCTCCTACCACACCCCCTACGTCAAATAATGTGGATAAGTTCCCCGCCGCCTCGTTCGATAAGTACTCACCATTTATAGCTGCAAATTTCAAAACACAATAAATTATTCGATATTCAAGAGATATTTAATAAGATTATATTACTATATATTTGTAACACGTACCTGTGTGACTAATGTAGAACGGAAGCCAGTAGAGAAACGTGTAGGCCACCAATTTGGCAAAAAATAGGCAAAATGCAAAAGGAGCAACCCCTGGAATTTTCCAAGCTTCAAGAAATCCAACAGGCTTTCCTTTCTCGTTATCGGGTTTTGAGCTCAGTAAATGTTGAGATAATCCCTGCTTTTTAGGCGACCCGGATTCATCTTCATCTTGATTGACTCCCACCGATTCAGGATCAACCGGCAAGAACAGAAAAACCAGAACACCAACAAAAGCGATCATCAAACCGGGAACCACCATTGACCACCCCCACCCGTATTTTAAAAAGTAGGCTGCGATCAATGATCCGGCGATATTTCCGACGGATGTGTGGGCGTTCCAAATACCCATTATGAGTCCTCTCTTACTCTTCCCAAACCAATTCCCGACGACTGAAACTACAGAAGGCCATCCGGTTGACTGAAACAACCCTGCTAACATTTGAACTATCAAGTAGTAGTAGAAGAAATGAATGTTTGCCCAGTATCCGACACCGAATAATGAAGTGAATAAACCCGTTCCCAGCATTCCGATTGTTAGAAAGATTCTTAGGTTCATTCGATCGCCAATATGTCCTGAAAAGAACATGCCGACGGCGTATACAAATAGGAACGCCAAGTCTAGATCTCCGAGCAAACCTGTTCCGTTTGTGCCATTGAATGGGGCCCACCCGCTTCCTAGAACCCATTGAAGCGCGTTAGATCTGTGTAGAAATGCGGCTGATTGTAGGGATTCGTCGGGAGTTTGAGGATCGAGGGCGCTTTTGATGATGCTGGTGGTTTTACGGGAAGCATGGTAGCTTGCGTATGCGAGAAACGTAACGATTAGAACAATGGCTTGATGGGATTTGAATGAGATGTTTGATTTCTTGGTGCATTCTACGAATCTGATTCCTGGAGGTTTTGTGTTTCTACTTGAGTCCGGTTCTAAAATGGAACCCATTGATGTATTACTATTTACTGCTTCCAAACTTCAATTTTCTTTTCCCCCACCAATTTAACGAAGCTGAAAACACGAAGATCGATCACCAAATTATATTTTAATCATTGAAAAAATATTAGTGCAAATTATAATTTAAAAAAACTTCTCCTTAACTTAGATTTATCCCCATCGAAGAAGTTAATGGATATGAAATCGGATTTATTAAACAAACATAACCTATAAAAGGCAAAACTCCAAAAAAGTTTGTTTAATAAAATCAAAATTATTCCTGAAAATTTTGGAACTCTCTACCAATCGAATCAACAATCGGAAAACCAATTATTTCCAGTTGATTAAAATAAAAACACAAATGCATTATATTGTAAATTAACAGCAAATTTAGTTAAAGTGGATGACAGAAGGAGATTCGATATAGCCGATAAAAATAAGCAAAAGTAAGAATGAGATTAGTTACCAAAAAGAAAAAAGAAAATCAATTCTATGAATATTTGTTTCGAAATCATCCAAAACAGCGATAAGTTACCGGATTAATCAGGTCGATCGTCTTGAATTTCCGGTCAACATATTTCTACTACTCCCGTTAATTGAAGAACTGATATGGAAGATGTTCCCAAAATTGAATATAAAGAAAACGAAGAACGGGGATAAGATTCTGGGTTTTACTAATACGTATTAAATTTGGAAAGATTTACATCAAAACCGATTAATCTAATCTGCGGTTTCGATGATGATAAGATCGCAATGAAGATGATGAAACCGAAAACAAATGCAACAAACTCTTAGTCAATTCAAAGGAAGAGAAGAACTTACCTATATGCAAATCGATTGTTTCTCTGTCTAGATTTCCACGATTTTCACTCGTATCTATACACGTATCTATAATCGTCGATCTTCTTCTTCTTCGTTGAGTTGTGTGACGAATGCGTTACTATGTTTCAGCTGTTGGCCTGTTGCTGTGGGTTGCGCAATGGAGAACATCCTATTTTATAGCGTAAAGGTTTTATTTAGTTCAGATGTTCAATTACCATAACGCCCTTGCTTCATCGTCATAATTGCCACTTCATCACGCCAAATATGTTTCAGCGGATGGGCTGGATATTACGATACTACCCTGGGTATGTTGGTAATTTCCCAATGCTAATAATAATCTTTTTGCCATCCAAATATTAATATTTTTTTGTAAGTCATATAATACTACTATGCATTATAATATATCAATTTACTTAATTACTTTTCAAAAAATTAACTGCAATTAATGATAAACTTGTTATAAAAGATAACTTAATAGATATGAACTTGGAGGTTATAATATTATTGGTTCGATACTTGTCGTAACATTTATAGAATGAAAGAAACGTCGATTATTTATTCAAAAACTACAAAAGACACAAAAGGGAAACGATAAAGGATAGTCCGAAATTTGACCTTGTGTAGGAAGATAAAATCATGATGGCCAATTGATGTTTAAGTTTTGTTTTTATCATCGACAACGTGATGAGACCAAGATTGTCAAGATCGGGATCCTACATAGGATCGTTTTTGGGTTTGCAAGATTGGGATCGTAAAATCGGGATCGGGATCCTAAGATCCTACAAAATGAAACATAATTTTAATTTATAATTTTAATACATGAAAAATATTTTAAACATTCAATTTTTTGTTTAAAATTTATAAAAACTTCAAAATATTAGTCATAAGTCACAACATAAAATGATAAACGGTAACTTGGTAAACGGGTAAAAGACATAAAGTGATAAAATGATTTCATTTGCAAAAAAAAATAATAATAATAATAAATAAATAAATAAAAAGTCAAGGAAAGGTAGGATCGGATCGGATCCCGATCCTACGATCCTACAAACGATCTTACGATCCTACTTGCGATCCTACCTTAAATACGATCCGTTTACGATCCGAATCGTTTTTCATACCTAGGATCGTAGGATCGTAAGATCCTATGATAAGGATCGTGATTTTAACAACCATGAATGAGACATATAATACCAGCTTATACTTGGAAAAATTGTAGTACTAGTTTTTCAATTTATCGGTAAATAATTGTATCAACTATTTATTGCAGTATTATTTAAAAAAGTAGGGTTATTCTATATATACTCCTATTTATTATTAATCGTATCGCTCATTTAGCTTTTTATTTTAGGGAATTGAGTAACAATCATATTTTCAGTATTTAAAAAAAAATAATAATAATAGTAACCACTATAAAATATATTTTTTTGCAAAATAACCATTATTTTCGGAATGGATCATTTCAAAGTCCATTTCGGACTGTGTACCTAGGCCGGTCCATCAAAGACCTTCCAAAATGCCTATTCCGGATTAATCCGAATTTTTCTGGATTTCCATTTACAAAACCATGTTTCGGATTTTATTTTGACACATTTCGAATCTCGATTTACAAACTCATTCCAACACATTCCGGACACTACTACACATTTCAGAGTAAAGATATGGAACACGATCTTGATGAAGTTTGTCGTTTTACGGGTAAGTCCTTTATTTTTACACTTTTAGCAGTTTAATTTTAAGATTATTGTTCTTAGTAACTTAGTCTGAAACACGAAAAACATTTATGGAATACACAGAAACAATACATGTTAACATTATATTTAGTACCAACCCAAAACTAGTTTAACTATTTATACTAGGGTATTATACATCAAAAATTTGTATTCCGGAACAAAAAATACCATTTCGTAATGTCCGGAATGCGAGGAACTAGCCTGGAACACAAAGAACATTCTGGAATGCATAGAACATGTATGGAATGTTCATCACGTTTCGTTCCGGAACACCATTTAAACTTATGACAACTTTTATATTTGCAACATGATAGATATTTTTATGCATCAATTACACTAAGGTTCTCTTTGTTTTTTGTAAATAAAACATCTTCAGACCTTTTATTGCCGTGCGGCGCAGCACACGCACAACACTTTTCATCTCGCAGTTGTTTGTTTTTTAGAAATCTTCGGAGTAAAAAAACATCTACGCGTGTTTTATTTGAGGCAACACTTGTATTGCCTCTTCCAACATCTTCTTTTTTTTTTTTGCTGAAATCTTGATGAATCTTGATTATATGTTGCTGAAATCTTACTGAATTTTTGTTTCACCTTTTTTTTTTTTTGGTTTATTCTTGCTGAATTATTTTTTTCGTTTTTTTATATTGAATAATGATAATTTCTTGCTGAAATATCATTATTTTTTGCTGAAATATCATAAATTATTGTTGAAATGTCAAACATTATTAAATTTTCGGTATTAAAAAACTATTTTCGGTTTATAAAATCAGTTTATTTTATTTTTTTAATATCTGCAGTAGCATGCATATGTTAAAAAACAAACTGGTTCTTATTACAGTCTGCAGCCGTTTGGTCCGCCTCTTCTGCTGCAGAGGGTTGCAAAGGTGGTTCACAGACTTCATGAATCTTTGCTTCAAAAAAACAAACAACGCCAAACTTACAAACCCGCAATCGTTGTGGATATTCTTGCGGTTACTCAAAGACATACCGACATGTACCATTATGTTCTTATAACATCCCAATATCAGGTATTAATATTATTGCTCTTAACTTAATCAAAAGTTTCACAATTGGTCCCTTGAGGAAAAAGGCTTGCATTTTGGTCGTACACTGGGGGTACTTGAGGGTACGCGCAGCGTACTCGTGCAATATGGAAACACGGATGATCCACTAGTACGTTAGGCGTACGTGTGGTACGCCGGGCGTACTAGCCCAAACTCCAAACCCTAATTTTAAGGGTTGCTCCTTATTTAAACAATCTTATACCCCCTTTGGACCATCCTTATCAGCCACCATTCCCTCCTCAAACCCTAATTCCGAGTCTAAGTTGTTTGTATGAGTTTCGGGAGCTTATTGAGTGATTTATGTGTATATTGTTAAAGAAGGATACTAGAGAAGAAGGAGTGGTTGCTTGCAAGCTTGCAAATCCAGAAACCTTTCCTCTTTGTGCATCTTTTCAGGTATAAAGTTTATACCTTGATGAGTTTTCTATTTGATCTACATGGTTGAAGTTTTATGAGCTTTTGTACCCAAGATTGGACCTTTATGAGTTTGGAGCACTCCAGGGAATTTTAGTTGTCCTTTCATGCATTTTAGAACTTGTAGACTCATAAAAATTGTTGTTTGATCATTCACTATGGCTCATGTATGAGTAAAGTAGCTTAGAGTGTGTTGGAAGTTAAAGTTTGTTGCATTGGGTCCTTCCTAGCCATTCAAAGGTTTAAATTCGACGACTTTATGGATTAAGACACCATAGGATGGTCAGACCAGAAGTTGGGTTAGATGTCTTAAAGGATTAAAACACAAAGTTGGTGAAAGTTGAAACGGGCGGAGTACGTCGGGCGTACTCCTGGCTACGCCCTGCATATCCGGTTTCGTCCCCGATGAGTCACTGGTTGCGTGTATACCATGCGTAAGGAAGTGTACATCTAGCATACGCGCTGGGCGGTTGACTTTCGTTGACTTTGAGTTTTGGTCAAGATTTAGGGTTTTGGACCATGAGAAGGGCAAAATGATTTTTTTTTTCCTTAAATGACTTAGTTATGGGATTTGGACTCGTGAGTTGAGCTTTGCACCTTAAATATTAATTAGGGTTAATTATTTCGTTGACTAGGCGAAGTCTAGTTCCGACAGTTCTGGTGTGAGATTTACTTGGCGTCAGTATCAGGTGAGTTCCTCACTTATTCTTACCTGTGTGGTAGAATAGTTGTATTTATGATGACCAGTTGTGTAACATCCCAAAATCCAAGACTAAAAATTTCATTTTTAATTAATAATTCAAAAAACAGATTATTGAAAACATCATTAAGTTATCTCATATCATAAAAGCCCATAAGTCATATGTCTCAAAAACATGTCATAAGATAATAATGTTAGAGTACAAATCCCAAGAATATCATAGTGCGGAAAATCGTGGTGTGATGCGCTGCAGTCATGCCGACTCCTTTCCCTTCGAAGAAGAAGTACCTGAAACCAAAACTGTAAACCATAAGCACGAAGCTTAGTGAGTTCCCCCATCATACCACATACCATACAATACACATACTGCCTAGTATATACGGGTGTTGGCCTACCCCTTTCGGTCTCTTTCAACCGGTAACTGCCTAGCATATCAGGGTGCTGGCCTACCCCTTCGGTCTCTTTCAACCGGTAACTGCCTAACATATCACAGTGCTGGACTACCCTTTCGGTCCTTTCGACCGGTAACGGGGACTATTTCACCCCTACTACTACCATATATCTTTCTAGTACATAAAAACACATATATCACATATTGCCTAGCATATCAGGGTGTTGGCCTACTCCTTCGGTCCTTTCGACCGGTAACGGGGTCTATCCTACCCCTCCTACCACTATCACATAATATCATAACATGCTAGCACATATAGCATAACAGATAGTGGCATACCAGACAATTAAATATTTAAGTAATTCCTCTTTATTACTTCAAAATAGGTTACAATTGTTGACCCTAACTATTACATCAGCATACTAATGCTTAGCCTAGAAACACGGACGTTACAACGTTCAATGGACGTTCGTCGTGCATGATGATTAACTCGAGTCCGTATTATGTTTTATGCATGTGCACCGCGTGCGAACGCGTTACGACCAAGTAATGGGTTTAACGTTTGTGCCCTTGACGAGATGATTGTTAGATAATAGTTATCACGGTTCCTACCAATTTTTAGGTTCCTATAGGATCCGGACTTATATATATATATATATATATATATATATATATATATATATATATATATATAAAAGAGTTAATTTGAGACGAACATAATTTTGTGAGAGCGTGAGACCAAATTTTTTTAGTGAAATATTCTAATATTCTATTGTTCGTAAAAATAAATATGCAATATATTCTAACATTATATGTTTTAAAATATTTCAATATAAAATACGTTAAAGT